TATTTTGTCACTGATTCTGTTTGGAACCACCATCAGCACATGATAATAAAAAGCAGGCCAACTTCAGTTAATTTTTTTTTGTTTTTTTAAATTTTCTAGTACACCGACTCAGGCCACCTCCATAAGACCTTATGTGATATCATCTCCTTCCCCAATGTCCTTTGAGCCTGGGGCCTATGTTGTCAGCTAGACATCTTCCTCCCAGTCATCAGCAGAATCTACAAGTGGGCACAATCAGATGGAGAAAAGAAGAAAGGAACTGACCAATAGGTCCTCTACAGCCCAACACAAGTTCCACCTCTTCCAGGAAGCCCTCCCTAATTTCCTTCCTCCTACCTGGGCCTCTTCTGTTGTACACAGTAGGAGGTGGAGCCCTCTCATGAGGCCTGACTGCTTTCAGATTTGATCTTGGAAAGCTTCTCTTGCTCCCCTGGGGTTGGCAATGGCTACTTCACCACCAAATGTTTCCACTTGGTGAATTCTGGTATTGAGCTGGCCACTATGCAAGGTTTCCTCTGCCCCATTGCTCTGGCCCCTTTCCTCTTAGGGTAGGTATAGAGGAAGAAAAGATGGTGGGCACATGGTTCTGGGCTGAGCTGCCTGGGAGGGAGAGAGAAGGGCTGAGGTCGGAAGACACACTTTATCAGTGCGTGGGGAAACATGTCTCAGAACTAGTTCTGCTGGATAAGTTCACCTAGGGGTCACATGCCTCACAGGCAAACCAGCCTGCTCCAGGCAATTCAGAGTTAATGTCACTTATCAATCTTCTACCGGACAAGCAGTTGTGTTTGGGATTTTCCCCTAAGCCAATATGACTTCTTTTTATTCATGCATGGGTGGCCCTGAACTCTATAATGCAAGGCTATGGATTGGGAGTGCCGGGCATGGAGGAGAGTTCTGGCTGAGGAGAGATTCAGAGACTCATAGGATAGCCATTTCCTTTCAGCCTCCCTCCCTTGGGACCAAAGCATTCTCTCCTCTGGACCTGATGGCTGCAGCTCTGTTCATTCTGGTCGCCTCACTCCTAGGGCACCTGCACAAGTGATGTACTCAGTAAGGAGCTTTGTGGATGAAGGAATGAACCAATCAGGACACCTAGGGTAATGGCGGAGAGCCTTCTGCCTCCAGGCAGATGGACCTACTGGCAGAGCCTGAGCCAGCTTGAGCTAATTAATCTCTTCCAGGTCTACTTCCAAATGTGATCCAGCTCTTCCTTCCCCAGCAGGTTGTCCTCTATGTAGGGCCCCAGGGCTAGGATTTAGTGATGGGGCAGGAGAGGAAGCCTGGGGATCTGGGAGAACTGTGTGGGGTGGTGGCTTTGGTGGTCCTGGGCTCCCTGCTATGTGCTGAAAGGGGAACTCTGAACCAAAATCTCCTAGGCTCTGTTTCCCCAGGTGTGGGGCTCCTGAGTCTCCTGTGTGGCTCTTACTCCCTTCCCACTGCTGGATCCTGGTAGCCTGCAACTTCCAGGATCTGAATTGGAAGCTGATGGCCAAATACACTGAACTAAAGGTACTTCTAAAATTTCCCAAACCCCTCTTTTCTCAATTTCCTTCTCTCCCTTCTCTGTCTTTTCTGGGCCCAGGTACCCTGATGCCAAAACTTCCATTCCAACCTTCACCCACACCACTCCTTCACTACTTAGTACTTAATTTGGATTCATCCACAGATCCATAAAATGCCTAATTTCTATTTTGGGAGGCTTTCCCTGCTTCAGAGTTTTCAATGCCCACAGGGCTGAGAGATTCTAGTTTGTTGTTGCTCTGTGCATGATGTTAGGCACATTACATCATCCCTCTGCCTTAGTTTCCCTATAAAGTGATATAGATGTTAGTACCACAACTGTGTCTTGCTCTGGTTTTAAGGCAACAGTTAAAATCCTACATGGTGAATATGCAGGATTTTCTGGGACAACTATGATTTCAAATACTTTATTTCTCTTGTCAGACCTCACGTCTGACCCTCTGTTCTAATTTGACATAGGGAAATACAGTCTTGGGGGTACTTTGAGCTCTTCATTCCAGCAAGGGGTTGAGATTTTATTTACTAGTATAGAAATGAGGACCTTTTTGACTTTGGCACTGACCTAGAAACTGCTGCCAGAACAATAGAAAGTGTAGCTCTGCCAGTGGACAGGACAATGCTGCTGGGGGCTGCCCCGGGAGGCCTCTGGGAGAGACTTTTCCTCAGCCTTTGATCTCTATGTCTCACCCACCCCTGGGCGCAGGACAGAAGAAGGCCTACTCACCTGCACAGAGCGTCCACAGCACAGGCCACATCTTCCCCAGCATGGTTTTGATCCTTTCTTCCCCAAACCCAGCCTGGCAAAAGCAGGGACAGGACAGGTCTGGGCTGACTATATTAAAGCTACAACAGCCTCTGGCCTGGCAGACCCTGAGGTCCCTGCAGTTCCTGGCTTCCTGCCCACCTCTGCCTGGCCCAGCCCATATGCCCCACCCCTCTGCTGGACTGGCAGGTGAGCTCACTTGGGGTTGGGCTCCTGCTCCACCTCCTCCACCAAAGGTCCCAAGAGGAATCTTTCCTACTTTCCTCCTGGAGCCGGTCACCTCCCCTGCCTTCTTATTTAGCAGGGGTACAAAGTCCTGGACTTCCCCTAAGGTGTGGACCTCTCTTGTAACGTCAGGAAGTTATTGCCTCCTAATAAAAGGGGAAATGATTTCAGAGGTAGTATTCCAAGCCAATAAAAGAAGGTGTTGCCCACATTTGCTAAAGCACTTCAAGACCTAATATGATCTGTTCTACTTCCCTCTACTTCTACAATCCCCACTACACCATGGCAGAGACACAGTCACGAGGAAGGCAGGAAGTCCTGCCCTCAAAGTTCATAATGTAGCCGGGACAGTAGCAAATGCACAGGTAAACAAAGACAATAATCTTGGATATAATGTGACCAATTTGTCTCAGTTTTCCTGGCACTGTCCCAGTTTTCAGTTCAAAAGTCCCCTGTCCTGGGAACTCCCTGGGTCTCAAGCAAATCAAGATGTCGGTCACCCTACTTAAAAGGGGATAAATAAGCTGTGGGGATCATAATCCTTGAGCACAGCCACTGTTATGGGTTTCTTCTATAGATTTTCTAGATGTGTGCTAAAATATGCGCAAATATTTTAGTATGTCATATCCTCTGTTATGTAATGATGCTCTAAATTTTTTTTTTTACTTAACAAACTACCTTGGAGAGTTTTCTGTCCATCTACCTCACCCTGCCAACTTCCTTTTAATGGGTCATGATATTCTGCCCTATGGTATTTCCTTTTCTGAGTCTAAGTAGTTCATTTGCACAGATTGCTATCAGGTTGCTGGTCTTTAGCTTATTGATTTCTTTAACCATTTGTATAGTAGGGAAACCAGCTTTTGGATGTGATAAATATTGCAAATACTTTCCCTAGTATTTCTTTGTATTATGAGTCCAGAATTTCCTACATAAATTATTTTATCAGTGCTTTGTGGCTACTAGGTTTGGCTGACATACAAAAGGTATTTTTTATTATATTTTGCTTAGTCCCTTATTGAATTCTCTCGTTGTATATAATAGTTTATCAGCCCCAACATTTTATAATACCATTGCCAAGTAAGTCCTCCTAACAAACAGTACTGATGATGTCACTTCTCTCCTTAGGTCCTGTCACTGACTCCACAGAACCCAACAAATGAAATCATGCTCCTTAAATTGGTCTTTAATGTGTTCTACCATTTGTTCTCAAACATAACCTATCTTCCCAAAATTATCTTCTAGAATATGTAACTTATGTTCTGCCCATGTTTAGACATCTCTTTGCAACCAGAACTCATTCCTTCCTACCCTAGAATGTTGTCCATTCTGTCCTCCCTGGTAAATCCTTCTCCCTAGTATATCCGCTGTTATCATCTAGTTTGTTCTCAAAACGCCAGCTCACATATCACCATCTCTTCCATGATACCTTCTCTGACTTCTCCAGTCAGAAGGGCTCTGTCTCTCCTTTGAACTCACAGAACACTCTGGATCCCTTTTAGGACCCTAACTACATTCTGTCTTACACTTGAGTTATTTTTGGTCTGTGCCTCATTCCTTCTAATAAACTGTGAGCTCATTCATTCATTCAGCCAATTTCTAATGATACTAGGTGCTGGGCATTTTCCAGCTGGCTAGGAAGAAAGGCAACTTTAAGCTATGTGTCTTACTAACTTTGGTCAAGTACAGTGCCTGATGTGTAAATGTCCGTAAATATTTGCTAACAGGTAGGCAAATGGATGGATGGATAGATGAATGGATGAAAGAGAAATTATAGAATTGTGGGTGACAGGTGTGAACTGTTAGGTTATTGGGCTTTCTTTCAATCATAGTGGTGGTGGTGGGGGAAATAGTGAGTGTGGCTCAAGAGTTTATAAAGCTCATGGAATTATTGTATCACCCAAGGTTATCAACCCACCATCACTAGAGGCTGTGAGCATAAGGGAGAGGATGAGGAGGGAAGTATAACTGCCCAGCGTATGCTCCATGGACATCTCTGTTAAAACAAGTGTCATCCTTGTCATGAGCAATGACTTCTCTTTAACTGCACATGGCGCTCTCCCCGTATCTGTCTATCCAAGGACCCTCCCCATTCTGGATCGTTGATATGTTTTTTCCTAGGCCTCTCTAAGGTGCCAGGGGCTGAGGGAAGTTTCTTTATTCTTCTAGGTCTGTTGATTTAGACTATTCTAGAAGTGTTTTGAACAAACTGCCCCAGGCAGGAGGGCATGGAGAGAGGGTCTTGAGGAAACCATTTCTTTAGGCCCCTCCATCCACAAAGTGTGAATCTTTTCCACCTCCACTGCTAAATGGCAGTGTCCAGAGAATCAGCCAGGAGGGAAAGAGTTAAGTGAGGCCTGCTGGCTCCCCAGTCTGCATTCCTTCCTGCCAGAGACCTGCCAGCCTGTGGGGCAGAAGCTAAATTTAGAGAGTGGCTAAGGTTTCTTGTTAACAGCTGTGTTCCCCTCGGAGAAGAAACCAACCCTGAAGAGAGAAGAGAGCTCGGTACCCTCTTGCCAATCCTGGTCAGAGCTTCTGGCCATTTTGTTGCAATTCAAGTCCTCCTCCCTCAGTGTGGACTCACAGGCAGTCAGAGGTAAGCGTTCTTTTTCCTCAGTCTGTCCCTCTTTTCCCCCAGACTTGGGAGCAAAGGGGCAGCAACTCTGCCCTGAGTGTCAGGGCCCAGCTTCTGGGGACTTAATAGACTGTGGATGGTGGCTGAGTCACAGGTCTTGACAGCATGGTCTTGCTTAGATTTGCAAAGAGGGCCAGCTATACCTCCCCTGGTACCGACAAAAGGTATACACATTAGTGCAGGTGGTGTGTGTGTGTGTGTGTACCACAGAGATACCTTATAATTACAACAGAAAACCTTCTTAGTTTGGGGAATTTACTGCTCTTGGTAATTTTGTTGTTGTTTTGTTTGTTTGGGGTTTTGGTAGCATGGGATTTGAACTCAGGGCCTCACATTTGCTAGGGGCAGGTACTCTTACCACTTAAGTCTCTCTGCCAACCCCTAATTCACTGCTCTTTAACTTCTACAGCTGTATCTATGCAAAATTCTGGTTCCCCTCACTTCTTCCCTACTGACATCTGTGAAAAAAACCAAGTTGCCACTTCTTAAGTACTGTGTCATTTCTTGGTGTCCTATTAATAATAGCTGGACCAGGTCTGTTTAAGTTTTCTCTGTGGGTCTTTTTCCTACTGGAATATTAGCAGGTGATGACCTCCCCATTCCCAACTCCAAGGTGACATTGCTGACACACCCCTTTGCCAGGAAACCTCTGGAACCTGCTTCCCTAACCACCGTTTTCCTGCCAAACTGACAGAGACCAACAGGCTGTCATGGCGACCAGCAGAGACCCAGAGGAGGAGCAGGTGGTTCCAAGTGAGGAGGATGAGGCCGATGTGAGGGCTGTGCAGGCCCATTACCTCCGGAGCCCTTCCCCCAGCCAGTAAGTGCACAGTGCTGAGCTCATCCACATTCCTGCAGGGTGGCTAGGGAGGGGACTGGGGGACATGGTGAGGAGGGCCCCCAGGGAGCATGTGATCACCACCTATGGACACTCACTCAGCAAACAATACTGGGGGAGGCAAACAGACTGGCTGCAATGTGGAATGAGAAGTGCAAGATATTGATATCTCCAGGGTGTACAGTGCAATGCGCTGGGGAAGGGAAAAAGTGAATTTGAAAGGGCCCAAGAAGGCTTCCTTAAGATGCTACTCCTTGCTGGGACCAGGAAGGATGAGAAGGAATTTGGCAGGTCTACCTTAGGGTGTGCTTGATCCACTAAGCTTAGAGCTGGATGTGGGGATGATAGACCAAAGAGTGTAAGAGAAGAGATCAGGAAAGGGAAGAGGCTCATAGGGCCAGGCTGAGTACTAAAATAATTTTGCATCCATGATTAAGCTGTGTCTTTCTTTCTTCCTTTCTCCCTTCCTTCCTTCCTTCCTTTCTTTCTCTGTCTCCTTCCTTCCTTCCTTCCTTCCTTCCTTCCTTCCTTCCTTCCTTCCTTCCTTCCTTCCTTCCTTCCTTCCTTTCTTTCTTTCTTTCTTTCTTTCTTTCTTTCTTTCTTTCTTTCTTTCTTTCTTTCTTTCTTTCTTTCTTTCAGTACTGGGGCTTCAATTCAGGGCCTATACCTTGAGCCACTCCACCAGCCCTATTTTTGTGATGGGATTTTTTGAGATAGGGTCTCACAAACTATTTGCCTGGGCTGACTTCAAACCACAATCCTCCTGATCCCTGCCTCCTGAGTAGCTAGGATTATGGGCAAGAGCCACAAGTGTCCGCACTGTTTCTTCTGAGTTGGGAAATAAGCATGCCTGGGGCAAGTGAAACCATACTCAAGGGTTAGATAAACATCTTCCTAAAGAGTCCCCTTCATTTTATGACAAGTAATTTAAAATTTCTCTTACATTAAAAACACTGAGAATGTATTATGTAGACTGACAAATTAGCATGAATTTTTAAGACAAACCATGAGACTAAGGAAATGTCATGCTTCATTGCCTGCTAAAGTAAGAGTTTGTGAGCGCCTGTCCATTTTCTTCTGCCATAAATGATAGCAGAGACCTGACTTCTAATCATAGTCCTGTCACAAACTTATGTAAAGAGTCACTGAAATTCTTGAGCCTAATCTCCTCGTCAATGAAAAGGAAAGGAAAGACCCAGCTAAAGTATCTCAAGGAACACTTATTTCTAAGTAGTTGTGATTCTACTTGACTCCAGTTTCCCTCAGTTCTCCTGGGGTCTCAGTGACTTCTGCTTCTCAGGGTTTAAGGCTTCCCCTGCTGGAGTGAGACAGGAGCAAGGGCAGGTGCCATGGTTCATGGATCAGGCACTTTGCCCCCAGTAGCTTGGAGACTTCTCCTTTAAAAATCAGTATTATGTTCTCTCTCAGAAAAATTTTCTGGATTAAAAGATTTTAAATACATCCTCCCCCTTACACTCCTTTGTTAGGGCAAAGGTAGCTTTGTGTTTGGCTGGGGTGTGATGGCTTTGTGTATTACTTAGAGTAATGCTAGTCGTTACAACAAATGAACATTTCTTTCTCACTCACTTAAGTTCCAAGACTGTTGAAGATTTAGGAACTGAGGCTTCCTTGCCTGCAGGCCCACCATTTAAGCACAAGGCTCCAAAGTCACGTGCTCACCAGCATCAGGACAAAATGAGAGCAATCATAGAGAATCTCCCAGGAGGTTTTCTTCTGGGCCAGCTCTGAAAATGGTCGCTTCCCTTCTGCTCATATTCCAATGGCTAGAACTTAGCAAGGCCATCCTTTCTTCCAAGGGAGAGTGGAAAACAAGGTCTATGGGCCACAAAAAAGAGGAAAAGGGTTTGTTAATACCCAATAGTCTCAGCCACAGTATACCTCTCCAGGCAGTCTATCCACGTTACCTTTCTTCCCACTCACAGAAAGCCTCCCAAGGCGGACAATCCAAAATCCTCTCTGACTACTGTTGCATTTAGGTCAAAGCTGTGTTCTCCAGTGGGCACAAATCTCTCTCTCAAACCTGAAGGTAACACCTCATGGTTTATTGCAGGATAACTGCAATAAAAGCTTCCATCCTATAAAAGGAGCAGTGGGAGCTAAGGCAGTGGTATCATTGGTGAGCTTGTCAGCCCCAGATGCAGGGAAAACCAGATTTAACTACGATGAGGCTCTCTGCAGGTTCTCTCCTATCTATCATTCTCCTCAACCTCTAGCACCACCCTCTGGACCTCTTCTTCATCCATTTTCTTCCACAGCCACAAGTGAAGGGGGTGGAAAGCATGTCTGCCTAGAGGCTCCATGGTTTTTGCAGACTATGTCCTGCTCATGGATATGTGGAACTCAGGGGTTGTTTTAAGGTTTAGACCACCCAAAGGCTCTTTAAAGCTCATAGTTTCTTTGAAAATATGATCTCTTCAAAAACTGAATAATTTTTTTCTCCGTAAATCAGACAACCCCATGTGTTAGTAGCTACATCCTAAGTTCTTTGCTGGATAGTTTTCAACCCGATTATGTCCTCCCTCCTTGTCTCAGCTTAATGATTGTCATCTTGAAAAGTTGTCTAAAGCTGTAAATTTGGGAAGTTGAGGACACATATTACAATTTCTAGTGTAACTGTTAGAAAGGTTTGCAATACCATGTGTAACTAGTATACAGCGAATGCGGAAATAAAATATCCATCTAAAAGAAGGAAAAAAGGAATACAGGAAAAACATAACAAATAATAAGGAAAAAGTAGAATGGTAGATTTAAACCCTAATATATAAGTAATTATATTAAATTTTAGTAGACTAAATATTTCAATTAAAAGTCAAAAATCATCAAATTTAGTTTTGTAAAAGACTTCATACTGTTTGCAAGAGACTTGCTTTGAAAATAAGGATATACAAAGGTTAACAAAGAATAGAAAACTTACATTATGCTGTTCTAATTGCTATTATTCATAACTTCAAAATGTGGTAGCATAAAATAATTTATTACAATCATAATTAGGCACTTGAATAAGGGGTAGTGGAGTTAGCTTGTCTTAAGATGTCTGGAGTCACAACTGGAAGGATTTGAAGACGGGATGACTTTAAGGCTGAGGGCGACTCAACAACACCAGGCTGGTGTCACAGAAGCATCTTCACATGATTGGCATTTCATGTTGTGACTCACCAGGGCTATTATCCTAAGCTCCTAAGATTCTCTTTTCATATAATTTCTTCATCTGAGCCAGTTTAGGCTTTCTCAAAGTATAGTTGCTAAATTCCAAGAGTTGCATCCAAAAAAACAAGACAGAAGTGCGCTGAATTTTCTTATTTAGACTCCAAAGTCAAACGGCATCAGTTGTGCTACACTCTACTGTCACAAAGATCCACAGAGTTTCAGGGGAAGCAACACAGACTCCATCACTCTGTCAGAGGAGCATAAGGTCACATTGTAAAGAGAGCGAGTGGGATGGGAAATATTGTGGTCATCTTTGGAAGATACAGGTTACTGCCACTGTAAACACAAACTGAAGCCAAGTCAGTGAAGTTGTAGTCATCCAGATAAAAGCGTTACTAGACACAAAGAGGGAAATTGCACAGTAATCAAAGGTTCCATTCACAAGAGGGCACAATCAATTTAAATGTCTATGATCTAATAACATAACTTTAAAATATAAGAAGCAAAAAATTGACAAAACTGAAGAAAAACCTAAAATTTACAATTTTAGCCAAATGTATTTTTTTTTAAACCTGATAGAATGAGGCCAAAAAATCATTACGAATTCAGGAAGTTCAAAAAAACTGAAAACCAAAATTTACCTAATTGGCCTTTACAGACATGTACCAAACAATTGAAGTATATATATTCTTATTGTGGACACATGAAATATTTACCAAAATAGACCATGTTCTAGGCTATGCAAGTTTCTTTAACTGTGGGAGAATTAAGGTAGAAATCAATGAAAAAAATTAAATCAAAACTACAACTCCATATTATTTCACACTCCCCAGATTCCCTAAAATTAAAGATTGACAGTAACAATATAAAGGAGGATGTGAGACAATCTGAACTCCCATTCACTGCTGGCAAGAATGTAAACTGGGACAGCCATTTGGAACTATTCCACCATATCTACTAAGACTGAGCAAATGGCTGTCCTCTGACCCAGTGGGCTCACTCCTGATACAGACTGCACAGAAATAAGTACGAATGTGTACCACAAAATAAGTACTGGACTGTTGTAGCAGTACTTAGTGTTTAGTCAGTAAGGTTATAGGATATTTAAACAACATGATGAGCTGTCCAATTAACACTAGGTTAGATAAAGTCTGGCATATATTTTTAAATCCTGCCCTAGGGAATATGCATTTTATTAAACATCTATCACTCTGGTTTGATTAGCTTCTCAGATAATTGTTTGGAGAATGCAAATAGTTCACACAAAGACGGGGTAGTCACCGAAAAAGGAGAGAGAAGGCAGTGGAGACCACTCCACTGATTTCATGGTTTTGCATAAAGTTAGCTTGCCATGGAACAAAAGCATCTGTTAATAGAAAAGTTCCAATGACATTCAATCCTGAGCCTTTCTAGTACCCAGTACAGGTTCAGCCTGAAGGACTCACCCACAGAATGGGCTGAGTGTCCCTGAGACATGGTCCCATGTCTAGAGCACATTTTGTCTGAGTTCTCAGTGATTGCTACTAAACCCCACTGGTTTTGATTCCCTCTGGGTTTGTGTGTACTCCTAACAACTGGCTTCTAGAAGCAGATCTCAAATCAGCTAGTTCTTTTCAGAAATATTCAAGGAAGGCAAACATGTGAGGACACTTCACAGTTATCTCTTCCCACTATGTCACTGTAAAGTTGAGGTGTAAACAACTACAATTGCACAGGCTTTTAAGCTGTCATTCAGTCAATCCCACTGCATTGCACAGAACCAGGCTAAAAACAGCCCAGCTGAATGAATCTACAGCATTTGTTTAAAATGAAAA